GACCAATCCCATATCCAGTCTGAGTTTTTCTTCAAGATGCTTTCAACTTCTTTCTTTCTCTCAATATAATCCTCCTCAGACTGAGAGCAGTTTTTTTCTCCAATGCTATGTGTATCTATTTCAGAAGTTCTATTAGTATCTTGTGGTGTCTGTGAGCAAGGTGGGCTGTCACAGTGAGAACTCTTCGAGCTACTCCATCCAGATTCATGCTGGGCATCTAGCAGTATTTTTTCCATGTCACCATTATAAATAGAAACTGAGGCTGGAACACCGCTCCCATTCCCATTATTGCTGAAGTGCAATTCTACCCAGGAGCCCTGCAGGTTCTCCTCCTGCAACCCGGAGACCCCACTCTGCGACATGACACGAGGGGCTGCTGAACCGTGGAGCTCAGTGTCCAGCTGCGACAACACCTCAGCAGTGGTTGCACAAGAGCAGGCATGCGACGGACCCGCAGCTCGGCACTCCATAGTGATAGAATTTTGAGGCAGAATCATTTACATCATATTTTCCCAGAACTATGTCCACTTTCAAATATGTAGGTGTCATTCTGATAATGATTTACTGCTCCACAGGCTTTTTACAAGCATCATTTACAAGTAAGAACCCTGTAACACAGCTATAGCTCTACCATCCCCACTTTGGCATCAAGTTGAAACTGGATCTCCCTTTTATTTATGTACCAGAAAAACACAAGCAATATTGTAATTGTGCATTCCACTCCCAACACTTTTAATTACTACATTCTGTCAGGCAGTGGATATTCGATAGTTTTTTCTTTTACCTATCAGCTGGACAATAAAACCAACATGTCAAAAGGTCGGCACTGGTTGACCTGATTTCAGCAACTCTGCTTAGTTGATCTATGTCCATGGGTTTTGCCATCTGCCATGAGCTATTCTGCTTTTATCAATCAGGGGCATCTCTGGCACAGCCTCTCCACATCCCTGGGCTCACAGCACTGAGCAGAGGCCTTGGGAGGCTGGGAGAGGATGGGCGTAGAGGGCAGCTTTCGGGCACAGCTCTGTCTGGCCTGGCTTTGTCTCTCTGCCCAGCCCTGCCTGCTCCTGGGGGGTCTTCTCCCCTCCTTCCACCTGGCTTCCTTGATGCTCCATGTGACCCTGCAGGTTCATGGTGATGTCCACTGACTGCCAAACCCACCAGGCACAGAGTCACCCATGGCTCACACTGCCAAGCACACAGAGCATGAGGGACCAGGTGAGGAGGGAGGCAACAACCATCCAGGCAGACTGCTCAAGTCACTTCTGAGACGTAAAAACCTAATTTGGAAAAGTAAAACTTAATCCTGATCTCATTCTGCCATTTTGGGGAAACAGAAACTCAACTCTGAAAAAACAGAACTGAGCTCAACATATCAGGCATCCCTGCTTCATTCCCTCCCTTGTGTCACCCTTACCCATGTCTCAGGTCTCATAAACTCAAAGCCCCTCACCCAGAACCTAGCACCCCAGGCCCTGGGTGGCTCCTGGATGTAGGTCTGGGACCCTGGGCACGTTCCTAGCCAAGCCCACGGGAGAGGGAGGAGAGGCCTGGGACATTCTGTCCTGCAGCATCAAGAGGAACAAAGAGGGGGCCATTTCCCCTTCCTGGAAGAATAGGACTGGTGCTAACACAGATGGAATTGCTCAGAGCAAAGTTATCCTGGGAGATGGAAACAGTCTGAGCAGCCTGGCCTCTCTCCTCCCCCTGGCAACAGGGTGCTTTTGTATGAGAAGGAAGCACTGGATAGTGGAAATCCAGCCCTGGCCAAGGTTCCTGGAAAGGCTTTGGGCCTGTCTCCTGGCCCCTCAGGAGAGTCCTTTGCTGTGATGTTGAGACATCAGGCAGGCTCTGGAGGGGAGCCGGCCAGGAAGAGGACTCAGAGCCCAGACAGCACAAGGCACAGCACTCCAGAGAGCCCGGGGTCAGGATGCCCGGACACTCACACTGTGGGACAGGGGTGTTTCCAAGGCTGATTCTTTCAGGCCTTTTCCAGAATGGGATCCCTTTGACTCTGAGTTAAAGCCTGTGTTTTCAGAGCCAATGATAGAACACAAGAACCTGCTTTCAGGTATGAAATGAACTTCAAATGGCCTGCAGAGAACACTGGAGTCATGGGCTTTCTGACCTTTGAAATTAGGGAATCCCTTAAACCATAAAGAAGGTGCCAGCAGAACAATAAAAATAGAAGCTTACTTTTAAAAGTTGTCTTAGAATGATTTCTTTGGAATTAAGTATGTGCAATCAAAAAGTGCTGCCATTCAGCTCCTGCTGTGAGTTGTAGGGCCAAATTAAGGTAAGTCTACTGTAGACAGCTAGGTTAGGTGGAAATAGTTTAGGTGGTCAGACAGGACTGGG